CTCTCTCTCTCTCTCTCTCTCTCTCTCTCTCTCTCTCTCTCTCTCTCACACACACACACACACACACACACACACACACACACACACACTCTGCAAGTAAACCTCTGGGTAAGTCTTAAAATAACCATCTAGCAATTCTCCCTAGAAGGGTTGAATGACAACAATCAAGATGACTTTCCTTGGTGCCTCCTTGCCTTCCTATAGGATAAAAGGAAGTGAGATTCAGATGCCAGTGCAACTTAGAGAGGGAAAGAAAGTAATCACCTTCAGTTCAAGGGTCATGAAGACCCCAAAAGCCACTAACACCAGTATGGCTAAACATTTTGTCTAGATGGATAGCCAGCAATACTGTATTGAAGCTAAATATTCTCCCTATTCCATCAGACAGCCTTTCCCAAACTGGGCTGAGAAACTTTCCCTCCCTGGACTTGGGAGTGCCCTGCCCTTGCTGCCAGCACAGAATGAGATGTAGTTATGTGGCCATTCTGGGGTGCTAGGAAGACAGGCACCGCCAATAAACATTGTATCCTGGCTGCACCTTGACTTCACCCAGCCCACTCTGAGATGGCTGAAACAGGCCATCTAAGTTTTGGTATGGTGGGAGGAACATGGAGGTGACCCTCCCCTCACTGGTCTTCCCCACCGTACATACAGTGCCTGCAATCCTCAATCTGGAGGGTTACCAACAGCTTCATTGGATTACACTCCTAGCTGTGGGGCTTTGAGGGTTACTTTCTCTTGAGCCCCTAGGTAGTGCTATTCAGTTTGGCTTCTGCAAACTACCTAATCTCACTCTTTGCTTTGCTTTCTAGGTGTAACTTGAAGCCCAAATAACATCTTGTCAAGCTAAATCTAATTAAGACTGCAGTTTTCTCCTATGTTGCCTCTTACAGCTTATGATCAGATGCAGATTTTGGCTTTGTCATGAAAGGTATCTTCCTATGTATGCTTAGAAAAACTTAAACGTCCATGACTTCCAGTATGACTGGCTAGGGGTTTATAGGCCTCCCCGCCGGCCATTTAAAACATGCAAAGGATTTGTGTCCTAAGGTAGCATATCATCTCCCCCTCCCCTGCATTGCTTAACATTCTGGCTGATTAAACTGTGCTCACCACTTTGAAGGTGTTGCTTAACTGCAGGAGTTCTTATGAACCCCCAATTTCCTTTAGATACATAGTAAGGATTTTCCTTGGCTTGATTCACTCTCCAGTTGAGATTCCGAGACGCATAATTTTACCATAATGCTGCAATGGGTGGGCCTCAGGTATTTATGATTATTATTACATTTCTGTGTCACACATAGCCAAAGCTCTGTGGGTGGTTCACAACATTAAGTCACCCATCCAGATTTCAATCAGGCCTGATGCTGTTTAGCTTCCAAGATTAGGCACCTCAGGCTGCCATGAACTTTAAATTGCTTCAGGGGTGAACATGGTTTTCATCCCTGTTTTATCCCAGCAACCCTGTGAAGGAGATTAGGGTGAGATGACTTGCTCAAGGTCACCCAGAGATCAGAACCTGCATCTCTAGACTGAGCCCAATGGAACACCATCCAGTATGGTATGCGTGTCTCATTCCCACCTGACACAGAATAAAGTATTGGCTTCCAAATATTCTGGGCCTCACTAACTCCAGCCAACAAGGTCAATCGTCAGAAGTCCTGGAATTTGTAGTTCCAGACATGTGGAAGGCACCTGGTTAAGAATACCTACTTTTATGTATCTAGTCATACAGTTGCTACGGACAGCCAGGGAAGGGTTGAGGGTACTATGGAGCTCCTTGCCCCTTCCCAGCTTGAGTAGAGACAGAATTATGTCAAGTATGAAAAGTCATGCAGAGTTGCTTAGCTTACCTAACATACGCAGGTTGCAATGTTCACATGATGAAGAACCCAGCTCAACTTACAGGGGGGCTTGCCATTCAGGAACACTATTACACCAGCACTAGAGCCTTCCCATCTTGCCCACAATTCGGAGTGTGGCCATGACGCATAAAGCCTTAAATAACATAGGCCCTGCATTCCTTACAGATCACCCTCTCCCTAAAAAAACCAAAACCATCTGATCCCCTTCAGCAAATAGCTCTCAGCAGGTGCTCTGCCACTTAAAAGAATTCTGTAAACCTGAAGCTTTGCTGCAGGATACTTTTAAAGTGATTTAGGGAATAATCCTATGTGTATTTAGACAGATAAAGTCCTACAATGTTGGGTATTGTACTTTTTTTGTCCAAATACATAGAGGATTGCACATTTAAAATCGCAGCCTAAATCAGGGATTAGCAACCTCCAAGAGTTTGTGGAGGGACACACCAGCTCTCTGGAATACTGCACCCTTCATCCACCACCAGTCTCAGCAAATCTGCAATGAAGCAAGGCATGCAGGCATCCTTCTGCACAATAGAATGGGGTTCCTGAAGTCTACAAAACCCTCTTGCCAGGTTGTAGCAATCACAGTACAGTAGGAAGGGGCCTATAAGACCCTTGAGTCCAGCTCCCTGCTCAATGCAGGCCTCCAGCTTAAAGCGTACCTGACAGATGACTGTCCAAGTGCTTCTTAAATGCCTCCAGTGTGCAAAAGCCCACAACCTTCCTAGGTAATTGGTTCCATTGTCAAACTGCTCTACAAGTCAAGAACTTTTTCCTGATGTCTAGCTGCTATCTGGTTTCCTCTAATTGAAGCCATCCCCATGTACAGTTTCTCTGCAGAATCAGAGCATGCTCACAGGAGTGTATGCTTTTTGCATGTAGAACTGCATTCCCAACAGCTCAGCACAGAGAAAACTCTTAACAACTCCGTGTAAGCAAAACAAGCCAGCCCAGAACAAGCATGGCTAAAATCTATCCTTATGTGATAATTTAATATACTTTCTTCTCTTCATCAGAGTGCTCAAGATAGATTATAAGCTACGGTCACAGTGTAAACTAAGAAACATGATTACAAAAGTTTAAGAATGAAGTGCAGGGCCAAGAGAATTCAGGTACCAACTCTTTCAAGTGTTGAACAGGGAATACTCAGAGAAGGAATTCCCACCTTTAATCTGAAGTAGCACAGCTCACCATACTATCACTTTATTCCAGCCAAATGTGTATGTAGCAGCTAAACTATTCAATTATGATATCCAAATAAGATTTGGGAGACAAATTTAATATTCCCTTCATTTGGCACTTTTATATGTTTGAAGGCTGCATCTAGTTCTCGTTTAATCTGTCATGTAGAGTAAGGACTACATCCAAGAACAGTTTCTTAGCAAAGCTGTTTAAACGTACAGATCAGTGCTGCAGAAATTGAGTCAGCTGTTCTATAAATTGACAACACATTGTATGATTCCCCATTTTGTCTTTCCTAGGTCTTTCCCGGATACTGCCCCTTTCTCCAGACATACTGCCACCAGTATAAATCATGCTCTTTAAGTGAGCTAAAATTAAGCCAAACCTGACTCTGAACAGCTATTTTTTTACACACATTTGTACACATTTTGTATTTCTGTACACATATTTGAACAAAACGGATTTGTATTCTCTGCTCAAACAGGCAAAGCCTGGGTATAAAGTTCCAGGAGTGAGGGAATGGTAATAGCACAAGCAAGCTCTAGCAAAAGAAAATCTTTCATCATCTGCAGCCTTCCCAGACAGGCTCAGGCAGAATCCTTAAAAGAAACCAGAGTTTGAACAAAACATCCAGATACAGAGTAGTATTAAAATCAACTTTTATTTGGCCAATGAGTTCCATTCCTTTCAGCATCATGGATGCTCAGAACTAAATTCCAATTTGGCTGAAATATACCCCCCTCCCCCAAAGCACTCGTTTGCTCTCAAGTACCCCCACAAAAAAGCCCTCTTAGCTACTGAGTCTTTTTTCTTGTATTCTAGCAGTCCCCTTTCCAAATGGCTCTGCAAATACCCAGGAAACCCATTCACGAAGCAATGCGTAGAGAGCAAGTCTTATGTTTGTTCAGAGGCAGGCAAGGTGAGTTAGGTTTTGCCTCGAGGGAGGGAGCAAATGCATCCTCCTTCCTCAGTGAAAGTCTTCTGCCCCTCAAGATCTTTGGAAGAGAGAGATACGTATCATTCAGCTTAAAGGGGAAGCAAGACTATACAATGAGTTAAGAGGATCTATCCAACCCCACCAATTCCCACTTTCCACTGGCTCCACTATGGTCAGCCTCGTGGTTTTCCTCCATACTGGAGTGACCCAAACAATGAGGACAGCTGAGACAGTAACCAAGACCCTGCTGGGCCAACAGCAGCTCATGACATTTAGACAAGTGTGACTAAGCTGGAAGGAGGCGTTACTGGTGAGACTCCAAAGTGAGTTAGGCAATGGGACATGTTGCCATTTCAATCTGCTTCTACCCAGATCACAGAACACTCAAAAGAAAGAAAATGTACATCACAGTGTGTATGTGGAGGAGGGGAAAAAAAGACCCAGCAGGACCTAGTCAGATCCCTGTTCAAAACAGAAAATAAACTAGAAGAAGCAGTTGACAAACAGGTTAGGATGAAGGATTACTTTAGACCATTCCTGCACTCTCAGCCAGTATTCATCTTCCCGTCAAAGTTTGTTTGCTGGACTAGCTTGACTGCATGAACAGGCAGCCAGTGCGTAGTGTCTGGGGATATGCAGATTAGACATGTCTTTACAGTTCATCTTTTTGACCTTTAATATCTTCCTCCTCCTCCTCCCCTTCAGCATCTGGTTCCTCCATGTCCTCTAGATCTTCCAGATCCTATAAAAATGAAGGAAAAAATGACCAGTCAGTGGTAGCTTCTTTTGTCTAACATCTAGTGCCAAGCAGGCAGTTTCCTTGAGGCAATGCAGAGCCGGGGTCCTGCCAGAGCAGCTGTTTCCCTTAGCAGTATGGTAACCTAGATATCTGCCTTTACGGTTCAAAATTCAGGTTATTTAGGCAGACTGAGTCTTGCTTCAAACCCATGCAGGCCAGGAAAATCCCATGCTTTTCAAGAAGCCATCAAGACAGAAATAATAATATGGAAATACCAACAGCACACAACCTACAAGCATTTCCATAAACCAGGGAGAAGGGAATTAAGCAAGAGAAATCACACTGGGCTGCCTGCCTTTCTGTTTGCCTTACAAAGTCTGGATCACTTAATGAAATGGGTCAGATCCCCCGCTCATGCAACGTGATTTTCCCGTCTTCATCTCCTTTCCACAGCACCCTGTGCATGCTGCTACAAACTCTCTGAAACAGATCTGAGGGTGTGCAGGCAATTGTGTGGAGAGGTGGAAATCCAGCACTGGAATTGCTGTTGAAATTACACCACTGGATGCAATCCAAAGACTGAGGGAGCAGCTTTAGTTATACATCTTAATTTCTCAATTTGTACTATAGCATCTTATACCACACATCAGATGCATAACATCACATTAAGCCAAGCCAGAGAAGTGAAACATTTTGCTTCATTAAAGAAGCATACAGGAGCCTCTGGAACATATCAAGCTAGAAAATTCTGTGGGCATGGTTATAACCAAACTGAATCCAAGATCAAGGGAAGCATCTGACCCTCCAATTATAGCAGGCAAAGTAAAAGCTAGATTAAGGCAGCTGTTCTAACCCCGAAGCCTCATACCATTCACAACCCCATGTTACTAAGCCTTTTAACTTGATAATCAGTAGTTAGTACAGCTCCTGGTAAACAGGCATAATCAGAAGAGGCTTAAAAGACCATATCCAGTCATACAGTCATGAAGTAAATGCAACCAAAGCATGTAGAGATTAATTTAAAAGTGCCACAAATAGAGGACTGCATATCGCATCCACTCGACTGTTGCTGAGCAGATGGTTTCTGAAGTTCTGTACTTTCTTCACCATGTTCATTCTCAAGTGTGGTGCACTCAGTTTGCAAGATCCTCATTTACTAATTAGCATAGCCTTAGCCATTGATCTCCTACCTGTTGTACAGTGCCACTATAACAGCCCTGAGAAAACAAAGAACTGACAGGAAACAGGAGACTAGATTACTAACATGCTGACAAGAAAAATATGTTCTAAATGTTGTTTTCTACAGCTGCCTATATTGAAGGCACATAATAGACAGGAAATAATTTAGTATTACCCTATTTTGATGCAAGGGCACCATGCACTGTTCAACTAGAGTCTCTGAAAATAAGTTTAGCACATTCTTGTAAGAGAATTCTCAGAAGGGGACATAAAGCCACTTGTACAAGGAATCCAATATATCCCTTTTTAGTAAATATATAATGGCAACAATAGACAATACAGCATCTCCAGAAGCCAGCTGCTAAGGAACTGGAGACCATTTGCAGGACATAAGGATTAACTTGTTTGCCACCTCTTCTTGTGGGAGCATGTGTTCCTATTTGTAATTGTTACTATGAAATCCATATACAAAACCCACCTCGTACAATTCAGTAACACAACAACTGGCATACGTTATTGTATTTTTTGCCATTTCTATTTGCTCCAGTTCAGAACGATCCCTTTTATATCCAAGTTAACAGCTACCTGTCTTCAAGGGCTTAGCATCTGACAGAGCCAACTAAGCACAAATCACAATGAATCTGGGAAAGAATTGAACAAGCCGAAGCCATACAGGCCCAGCCAGCACTCTTCTGCAACATCTCAGCTACATGTCATTGCCCGTTCTGGTGCCTCAAAATTCGATGATGGGCCAAGGACAACAGCTGTCAAAAAGACATTGCTGAAGGAAGACATTTCTTGAATCACAAAGACCCAGCCAGACTCTATATATGGTCCAAGGGGCCAATTCAGGGCCAAGTGTGTAGATATGCGAAGGCAGATCAGCTCATGTGCCTTAACAACCAGCTGGGACCAACAACAGTGAAGTCCAGAAGCAGAGTCTGCAGATATTCAGCCTACACAGCCAGCCTGAAGTCACACAGAGCCTGTTGCACACACTCCAGGAATGTGCAGCTGTGGGAAGGCAGGGCCACCTATTATTCATCATATTCCACATAATGAAGAAGCGACAGTCCTAAACACCCAGCGGTCCTAACTTGCACTCCTACCCACATGTTCACCTGCCATTCCTGCTGGGCATTAACACCCAGTTGAAAGCTCAGCAGTACTGCAAGGCGCTAGAAGCATCACGGTAACAATGGCAAGCAGCATCAGAAGCGAGTGGTTACACATGCTGAAAGCAGCACCTCCGTGACTGAAACAAGAGGACACGCACACCTGTGATGGGCACTGGAGAGCGAGCCAGCCCAGTGAAGGTTCATCTCGCGAGAACTACAGATAGCTGTGTCAAGGCTGAGAGGAATGTAAACAATGTATCTTGAGCATTTGTGATTATGTGGGAATGGTGAGGCTCTTATGGGCTACTGCAGTTAATGCAGCCCAGCTCCATCAGTCCACATGGAATTGCAACTATTAAGGAATAGGCTCAACACCACCCCAGCTCGATCTGGATATTACCAGCTGTGCTTTGTTTACGAGTTGCTATGGGACCAGCATTCTCTGCTGTCATAGTAAGCCATAAGCAGCTTCACAGCACAGAACTTCCCCTTTCTCAGGGATCACTTCTGAACCCTGACCTAGAACTGCACACATTCCAGAGCCCCCCCACAAAGTTCACAGTTCTGTTTTAGATGCTCACCTCTTCATCAACACCACCATCTTTTCCACCACTTTCTAGGAACTTCTTAAAGCCTTCCAGCGTCCTCTCACCATTATAGTCGACAACCTACAAAAGCAATGAACCGAGAAAGTTACCAGCTGCAGGCTAAAGTGGGCTTTGATGACTGAAGAATTTGCTTTCTGAAGAAAGGAGTCAAGCAAAAGGAACTGGAAAATTCATTGTCACATTATCAGCCAGAGAGCAGCTAGCCACTAGATTTCAGTGATTATGGTGAGGAAAGAATAGCCCACACATGCCATCTTCTACTATGCAATCCACCCCATGCAAGCTGCATTGGCAAGGCCCCCTATGAACCCTCCCCCACAAGACGAAATGAACCCAATTCAGAGCCTGAAAAACCATTTAGAGATACCTTCTCCAAGCCTGGGACTTCCAGATGTGTTGGACTACAACTCCAAACATCCCCCAGATTGTATGGCTGTCTGAGGAATGCTTGGAGTTGTAGTCCAACAGATCTGGAGAGCTCCAGGCTGGGAAAGGATAATTTAGAAGTACAACTTTTCCCTCTATCAGTTTTTAGGAACTTCCTATCCAGCGGAAGCATACAGATTAACCCACAGTCTGCTCACCGTTCTGCCAGGGCCTGCAGGGAAAAACTTGAGGGTAGGGAAGCTGTGGACCTTTACTGTCTCAACTTCATTGGCTGTTGAATCCATCTTGGCAATGACGATGTTTTCATGGTCCTTATAAGTCTCTCCTAGCTTATCCCAGATGGGAGCCAGCTGTTTGCAGTGGCCACACCAGGGAGCATCTGCAAATCAGAGGGGATATGCCCAGTTTAGCATCTGTCCAGCAAAAGCCACTCCCAAGTTCTGTTGCTGGGTAGCTGAGAAACAGCTTGAATTAAAAGGTGAAATTCAAGAAAGGGCGCACTGAGCATGTGTGCACATGGGCTATCACAAAAGTACTTACAGAATTCCACAAATACATTCTTAGTCTCATCAAATGCCACTTCTTCAAAATTCTTCCCAACTAGAACTTTGACAGGTTGTTTGTCCCAGTCATCAGAAATCTCTTGGCTCATCAGATGAGGCTGAAACAGACAAGCGGGACAGCAAGCATGAAATGACAGCATGGAATGCATCAACAGGAAACCCCCCACCCACTGTTCCAAGACAGTGTAGAGCAACTGACAACGACGGGCTATAAAAAGTCCGATTAATATAGACTTCCTCCTTCAAGGTCAAACCCCACCCCAAACGACCCAGGCACATCTGAGCTGCTGCATGAAGGATGCAGGTTTAACTCTATACAGAGCAGACTCCGGTACTGCAAACTGCCACAGCCCAATCTGCAACACAGTGTTAAAAAGCCAGAGGAAATGCATGACCTGTACATTGTAAGTACCAAATCATTTCCAAGCAGTTGTTGGTGTCTTTACAAGATGGGATAAACAGCAATTTTGAATTAAAGGGAGCTTTTAGGCTAGTCTTCCTCAGCAGGATTCCCTCTGGGATAGGAACACCCATCATCTCTGGCCATTTCTGAAACAACCTGTGCTGCATCCGACAGATGAGTGGGCTTACCCTGGGTCTTCTCCTTCTTGCTTCTCCAGCTGGTATCCAGAGTCCTTCACAGCAGAGCTCATCTTGTCTCCTAGTCACTGCTCTAAACACTACCTCTTTTTGTTTGCTGACTTTTTAAAACCAGAGACCAAAAAAATATGCATTTGGGGCAGTCCCATAAAAGTACACAAGCTCTGAGGTGGCAGAATGGATCGAAGTGATACCCCAGAGGAACTTTTATCACACCTTCCCCCACCAAAGTAGCCCCATTCAATCACATTAGTTTTGGGTTTTGGTGTGTTTGTTTTGAAAAAATGGAACCATGAGATGAGGGGGATTAATAGCTCCCTGTTCTGAAGTAACTGGAGAGGTGTAAGGGTGTTGAAAGTGTGGAAGACACTGAGAACTGTTAGCCATATAATTATCTGGAGTTCAATTAATGAACTAAGTGGGGATCTTATTGCCAATCTTCTACTTGGTTCTCCTTTTACTGCTGATTTTTAATCAACTGTGTACAAATTAGCTCTTGGTCTTGCCGTACCAATTTTTTTCTGTGTTACCAACTACACTTCACTCCCTTCGACAGCTGAAACTTACAAGGGTCACTGCCCAGCTAAGACTACATGCCTGACAGCCTTTAGGTGCACTCCTCCAAAAGAATTATGAAGACATTTGAACATATTTCTGGGACCAATTCTTTTGAAAAGGTGCTGAACCAGTGATGGTCTCTCTGAAGTGTCATTTAGGCATCACTGGCAGGGGGTTTTTGCTATACTTGCTAAGTGGCTCACTAGGAGATTCCAACTCACTATGGAGTTCATCACCCAGGTTTGGACAGTATGACAACGCATTCTGGGTCAAACAACCCCTAGAACAATCCATGGGTTCTTGACCAGAAATAAACTACCCTGAGGAAAGTGGTGTGCGTTCAGATGACATGACAACCCATCATAGCTAGTTATCCACAAAGGAGTGCCATTTCATGCAAACCCAGTTAATTTGTCTTTCAAACTACCTAAAAACTTCTTATATTTCCCAATACTGCTACATCAACTGTTCCTAGAACTCCCCAGTTATAACTGTTCAATCCTGGATCTCCCCTTTAATTAAAGACCACACATATGTGATACTTTCCAACTGAAACAGAGGAACAGCAAACTGGATTCCATAATCTTCTGCAATCTAGGAGTAACTTGTTTTCATGTTTGTGGAAAAAAGATGCACCATCCTTACAAGTGTAATAATCTTTTCCCAATTATCAGTTTAAGTTCTAGTGTAAATAGTTAAGACAACATTCCTACAAGGCTCTTGTACAAGTTTTGCAAAGACATATGGCACACAACTCCTGGGAGCAAGAGGCTGAAGAATTCCACAACTGCATGCTAAGTCAGAGGAAAGCTTGTCCAAATTTTAGCCTGCCCTCCTGAAACATGCTATTTTTTATGCAGTCTTGAGGGAAGCACTAATAGGCAACACCCTAGCTTCACAGTGAAGCGATGCAGGTCTCGGACTTTTTCTAAGGCTTTAAATGTGGCCAGAATGTGCTATTATTGGGAAATGGGTAAATTTATACAGCCCATGAGTATATTTACCTTTGGCACACCTTACTATTATTTTCATTAATAATTTTATTTCTGTACCACACCATAGCTTAAGCTCTGTGAATGGTTTATATGTCGCATTAATGTATTTACTGTACTGCCGCATCCTGTTCAACATCTCTGTCAAGCCACTTCACACACAATACTTCAGTTTTCCTTTCCAGCTTTTCTAATTGGAAAGATCTTCTTGACCTTTTTGGTTTGATAACAATCTCTTCCAGTTTTCAAACTGCCTACAGATTATTGTTATTTTTAAGTGTGCTGTCGAGTGCTTCTAGTAACTAAGATGAAGGCTGTGAGTTCACTGAAGAAAGGAAGAATGGAGTTAAGGAGAGGAGAGAGGTTAGGACAATTAGGAGAGAGGTTAGCAAAGTGATTTAGGAGTAGCGCTGAATGAAAGTAATAGCTGTCCCTGCATAGCTGCTTTCATCTCCAGATTAAGACGGAAGGTTCCCAAATGCTTGTGCAATGTGAAAGGCTCAGCCATGCTGCCTCTTCTGTCGTGCCGATAAGACTGAAGCTGTTCTTGGACCTGCACCATCAGCTCTATGAGCAGCCCCCAAACGTATTGAGTGTACTTTATCAGTGCATTAGGGCTATTTACATACTGGCACCATGCCCCACTGACTCTGCCCTTTGGGCTTCCCAGCAGGAAGCTCTAAATACTACGCTGCTGGACGTGAAGCAAAGGCAGCCTTGAAAGGCAGGCTCTGTGCCACATGACTGCTCTTGAGTTCCACACCATTTGTGCTCCTGGGAAGGCCTCGCCTGGGTGCCTGTCCCAAAAAACACATCCAAAAGGCCATTACCTTAACTTTGCCCTCCAGGAACTTGTTGCAGAAGTCCTTGATGTTCTCTGGAGTCAACTCATCCGACTCTGGCTTGTATTTGGTCATTTCTTCCTCTAGAGTAATGAGGCGTATAGCAGGGCATTCTTCTTTCTTGAGGCCAAAGAACTCCAAGATCCTCTGGTTGTCAGTGTGATCACTGTCGATGAAGATGAACAAGATCTTTGGGAGAGAGGGAAGAACAGTAAAATGAAGGGATTAGACAAATGCTCCTGGGATAGCACAAGAAGCCGGCTGTTAAGACTTCTCAACAAGCATTCTTTTTTCACCCTCCTTGTGACTCCTCGCTGACTATAAATCTAGATCCATGGTATTCAAACTGTGCTCCTGTGAACCCCAGGGACCCATGACCAACATCCAGGGGGTTACTCCTATCTTTACAGTGAAATAAGACCTTTGGATCCTTTCTTTAATTTAAAAGATAGGAGTCTTTTAGGGTTCACACGCATGCCTTTTAAAAGCAGATTAAGTCATTTTAAACTCAAAGTGGTTTCATTTGAGTAGATTCAGATTGCAAGGAAGAACACTGGCTTAATACAAGAATAAAATAGATGCAGAACAAGAAATGCACTTGCAACTGTCATCAGTAACACCACATTTGGATTTTCTTTGTGACAGAAAGCAAGCACATCCAAGGCATCAAAATGCAGTAATGATTTTTCATATTATATGTTAGTGATGCTATACTAAATTTAGTACACATTCAGTACATTTAGTATTATTTGGTTAGTAATAAATGGTTAGGTCATGCATTTATAAATACTTTTTGTTTACACTATGTGAAATGTATTATTGCAACATCAATTGTAACATTTAGTAAAATAAAATGAATTATGTGAAATGTTTTTATTAATGGGTTCCGCACTGATTGTCCACATTGAGAAAAGTTCCTTGGGGATCTCATGTTTGAAGACCACTGGCCTACAGCAAGGCTTGTTTACTTCATTTATTATACAGCACCTGATGCAGGTGATTTTAATTGACTGTCTGGGCCACTATGAAGAAAGGGGCTACAGCACCCAGAAAGAACAAATTAGGCCACCAGGTGAAGCTCTGCCTTACATAGTACTTTTTGGCTATTGACACGTGACAGAGGGATCTCAAGGGTTGCAGCAGTCCCAAAGATTATTTTTTAAATTCCCAGGGAAGGAATCTAAAATGTCCAAAAGAAAATGCCAAATGAGATTTAAATACACTTAGAGAAAAAAATACTGACCAAATGTTGGGAGGCGGGGAAAGCAGAAAACTAAGGGGGAAAGGGGAGTGGAATGGAGTACCCTGAAAAAGATGGCAGCTTACTGAACTTCAGTGTTTTGCTGCAGGCCCCACTTGTCCATATTAAAAAAAGAAACTCTGAAGGAACAGTAAAGGACGTTAATCTGTCCTTCCCAGTGATGTGCTAATGAGTACAAAGTAGTGAGAACAGAGCTGCATGGATACCAATGCCCCCAAGCCTAGAAGAAGAAGAATTCTGGAACTTCTTTCCCCTCACCTTTCCTTTGAAGCTCTCAGCTGCCTTTTTGAAGTTATCCAGTTTTCCCTGGTAATCTGTAACACTCTTGGGCAGAAACAATAGAATGTGGGTCTTGATCTCTCCTCCAAAGATTTTGGGTGCCGTCTGGAGTAAAAACAGATGCATTGTTGGGTTAAGAGAATTACAAAGAAACCGAGGCTCTTCCTTTCTGCACGCCCTTCTTCCCCTTTCCAGTTTATTGGCAGAATACACACAGATCTGTTAATGTTCTCTGCTCCAAATGGAGGGCACACACCCCAGCCCAGTGCCACCCTAAACACAGGTAGGCTGGCTCAAGAGTCACTTTCATACCTGTTCAGTAAATTCAATCACTAAGGGCAGCTGGTTCGCTTTGATGAAGCTCAGCAGATTCTCTTGCGTTATCTCCCCTTCAAAGTTGTTACGGCCTTCATCAAACTGCATGAAAAAAACCCCACAAAGAGTGTCAAATGCATGGCAGCAGAATTAAGAAAGGCCACAGACTTTACAGTTCAGTCCTCAACCTACTTGGCAAGGGTTCAAGGAAAGGGCAGAGGCTTTAGTAGTACTCTGCACAGATAGTTGTCCTTTGCCAGAACCAGGTTGTTCAGAATTACATAGATAAATGTGAAGCTACACAATCTGTAGACTGTATACAGGTCACAGTGGGTTGGATCCAACACTTGCATGAGCAAAGTCCTTTCACACAATAGGATTTTCCTCTCTCCTGCAGTGCTTGTACAGGTACCCCAAATCAGGTCCACCCAACTCTTCAGAGCAGAGGAAGTGGGGTGGGGGGGGCTGCAGGAGGGGGCAGGAAACCCTTTTTGCCAGTGGCTTTCCCTTGTTTGTGGAACAGGCTTGGGTACAACCCATGATTCAGTTTTCCTTAGCACAAAACTGTAAAAAAAATAGTTGGGACTACAATCAATCAGGAGAGTTATATCTGCAAGGCTCCAACTCACACCTCCCTCACACATCTGAGAGTGTGCCTATCACATTGCAAGGAAGGGAGAAAATTCTCCAGGGTGGAATCTTGACCAAAGATCTCATCTTACTGACAAGTTAGAGCCAGAGTTGCAGAAGGGTAAACAGAACAGCAAGTAGAAGGAAGCTTAACACAAACTGGACAGCCAAGGTTCCCAGTGGGACACCCACAGTCCCAAAAGGGTACTGGTCAACATTTTAGAATGTCTTAAGCAAACCGCTGGGAAGTCATTGCAAATCTCACAGACACTGTGTGAGAGCAATAATCTTCAAAGCCACAGGTTACATGTCTTGCCAGCAGCAGACAAATTTATCTGATCAACAGAGCCATTAAAAAGGAGTTAGTGTCCTAGGCAGCAATACATATTATGAAGCCACTAAATAAATAGCAGTTTACTCAGAGGGCAATGCATCCCTGCAGGGCTATTGTTAGAGACACAGGAACAGATGTTCGGGGGCACATTATAATTCCAGTGCCAGGAATAAATTTACTGCACAGCACCACCTATTCCTGTCCAGGTTTTCAAAATCTTTCCTGGCACCCTGGAAAGGGGGCAGGGAAGTAAGAGGAGCACCAAGGTTATTCACCATGTGGGATAAGCGAGCCACAGCTTCAACCCCATAGGTTGGGCTCCCTGGCAACACAGCTCTGCGGAAAGCCCTAGGCCAGCCTCACAGAGTCCCTCCCCAGCGATTCTGCACACAGAGACTACCTATAAAGAGCTATGACTATTTGTATCAACCTTCTCCAACCTGCGGCCTTCCAGATTTGTTGCACTACAACTCTCATCATCCCCCAGTCATAGTCCAACAACACTGAAGGGTGGCAGGCTGGGAAGGCTGCAAGAAGGAAGGAAACAAAAAGATAAGTTAGGCAGTTGTGGCCATGAGTGCTGTGAGCTATAAGGTTGCTTGTATAAAATACACTTTGGCTGTGAACTCAGTTAATAGGCTGAAGAATGGCACAATTCTTGCACAGACACTCCAGTAAGTTCTACCTGCCTCACCAAGCTAACACATGCAAAATACTTGAATACATGCCGATGCTATACAGATTGTCATGTATATTATTAATCCAGCCTCTTTGTGAAGAGTGGTTTACCGAATAGTTTAACTGGGAAGCTGTCACATTGAGTGAACTCATCCATTTCCCCCACGTTCCTCCTTCAGTATACGCCATAGGCTGAATGAGCGATCTGGCACACAGGTAAAGATCCGTGGGCTATCAAAGCAGTCAAACCCCAGGTTCCAATTAATAAACCAGATTAAAGTTGAGGAGTAAGGGAAAAAACAGGTGGCTCTTGAAAATAAATTTACTTTGCTGTTGCTTTATTTTACATCAGTTGAAAAGCTAGTAGAGCATGTATTTGTTTCAAATACAACAAGTTTGTAACATGTTGTAATTTGTAACCACTTGTTCAAAATTCAGAGATTCTAAACACACCTGCAAGATGGCACATGTAAGACACTACGACCTGACAGAAGGCTAAAAATGGGTGACAACTTCAAAAGTTTAACCCCACTTTTTATTTCCTTTTATCCTAGGATTTGAAGGCAGAAGGAATGATGGAGGGAGGAGAATCCACCAATCAGGTATGACCACAGTGGTCGTGGCATCCCAACACACAGGCAAAGGATCTTGTGAAAGTTCCTACTGACACTTTCATGAGCCAGGTAGATAGAGAGATGTGAAGAAGGACATTTCAGTAGCCCAAACACCGCTTTGGGGAAGATATTCCATTCTGCAAGGCTTGATACACAGGAGGTATACAATGCCATCAAGATTTCAGTGTGCTGGGTCAGAGATAAGGGATTCTTAAAGATGGAGGCATTCTATTCTCAGGCTACTGCATAATGTTCCCTCATTTCAAAACAGTAACTTTCTCATCAGAGCTAAGCTCTGTGAAGGGGAACTGAAAACCTGAGTGAATTAGAAACAAGTTTACTATTTGCTTGTTCATTAGCTAATTACATTATCAGTTTGGAACAAAACTGGCAAGACCCTGGAGCAGTGTACAAAGAGGGTAATTGACGTGAGAAACCCTTTAAGAGTTTGACATATGAGCTGCATTCAACTCAGTCTTTTTAAAAGCTGGTGGAGGGGTTGTCTTAATAGCTATCAAAAAGACATTAGTCTTCAACTGCTAACTTGTTAAAAAGTCAAGGACTAACAAGTAGAAGGAGATAACAATGGACTCCAAGACCGAGGAAAACTCCCATCCAGATGTATTGCTTTTAGTGCCAAGATAACAATTGCACTGAACTGAACCAAACAGCTCAAAAAGAACATGTCAGATGTTAAAATGCTCAGGCTTTGACTCTCACTTATTTTCGCTCACTTTCACTTCCTTTTTGGACAGGACAAGCCAGGAGTCATTTAAAGACTGACACAGCCATGCTCTGGGATCAAACAGAAGAACACCAAGCAGTTCAAGGGCATCCACTAGGCTATTTCTCGTGACCAGCATTTAACCTGTTTTTAGACTTTTTGTAAGAACTGAGAATGTCATGAAGTTGTCAAAAAAGGAGAAAGTTTTGCAGCTGGGTTAAGAGAAGAGGGAAAGGAGGCTTCTCAGAATCGAAACTGGCTTAGCCTGGCTACTTGTACGCCAGGTGGGATTCGGCTTCAACATTTTGGCTCAGTAAAGACACAGAACTTCAGCACTGAGCCTACTATAGGGAACAGTACTCACTGCTGTTGAGACACACAAACAGCCTTCTTGCCTGGATGGCAAGGGCAAGAAATGTGCAACCCTGCAGAAGTTGCTGGACTGCAACTCCCATCAGCCCTAGCCAGCATGATCAAGGATGAAGGATGGTGGGAGCTGCAGTCCAACCATATTGAATGAACAACACATTCCTTGCGCCTGGGCTAGGGTGACATTTGTTCTGTCAGTATTTGGGATATTTATTTATATCTCACCTTTCCTCCAAAGAGTTCAGGGTGGCATACTTGAGACTTCTTTAAATTTATTTTTATCCTTACAGCAACTCAGGTTAGGGCTAGGAGACAATGACTAGCCCCAAGTCATCTAGCCTACTACATGACCAAGTGGGGAACTGAACGCAGGTATATCACACTGGCTGTCTGTCAAAAAACGGGTTAGCACCTGAAATGATTCATAAAGTGCCAGGTATTTTGGTGGACAATTTAGCTAGGCACTTGAAGGAGGGGAAAAAGGCTTGCCTGAAGTATGGGTAGAGCTGGGCGGTCAGGATTCCACTGACTGGTTGTACCTGTCTTTACAGGAGCAAAAGCGGGGTGGTGGGGGGAGAACACAGTTTATCTAGCTACCCAAACTGCACGCCTGCTTCTGTGGCTACATCTGAGGGTGTTGTAGTCACAGCCTTAAAAGGAAAAGCTGCAGGTGCTTTAGTCAGCAACAGGTAAGCAACTGAAATCTATGCTGCTTTACTTTTTTAAAAAAAGCTGTGAATATGGATAGGACTATTCCTTCTAAAAGGCTCACAGCAGCATAAGAACCAAACAGAAGACCTTTTGGATATCAAGAGGACTTCTTCTCCCAGGCCTTTTGCCCACTTCCGGCAGAATGTGATGGCAGGTAGTTAAAAAAATTATTTTTTTGGCTCAAGTTCTTGAGGACTTAGTTGTAAGGGTGAACCCAAAGCCACATTTTCTCCTTATCTGAGGGCAAAGCATTCAAAGACAGTGTTACATGCGCTGCATCTAAAAGATCTCTGCTCCAGCACAGCCCACGTATTCCTCTACCCTTCTCAAGTAAAGAACAGGCTATAAGATCATCTGGGGACCTCCATGCACTTTAACTGCCCCCATTCCCATTATTAAAAAATTCCCACAGTAGTTTTGCAACAAAGCTCTGCTGGACCGCATCCCTCTAGTTTTTTCAGACTTCTCAGCTCAGCACAGTCTTCCAAAGGAAGCCAAGCTAAGAGGAAGTCTGAAAATGCTGGCCAGATGAAGGGTGCCCCATCAGCAACCTTCTTCCACATCATGAACCGCTGGTGGAGTCATGCAGGGCTCAATTCCTGGTGAGCCCTGCACAAATGTCGGAAATGCTCGCCAGGAACCTGCACTCACGGCTGGGACAAAGTGGGCCATAGTCCAGGGAAGCAAGCACAGGGAATCCATGTGATTTCTATCCCAACTATAGATTCCTTCACATCCCTAGCCCACAACACCACACTAAACTCACTTGCGGGTGAATTGTTTGATGACTGTTCTAGGCACAGTCCTGTAGATTTCCTGGAGTATCTGAGGGAATTTCCTCACCAGAGACTGCCCTTTGACAAGGGTAACCCTTTTGATGAAGCATTACTGTAACTTAACAGACTAACACTGACACAGGCCAAACTATTCATCTTCTGCTTAAAACCCAAAGCAGCTTTCTGCTGTGTGTGAAGACAGTCACAGCAGTACCTGTGTATGAGGATACCACACATGCCTTCCATTCAGGGTCGGCACGTGAACAGGCCAGTCAATCATATCAATTTACAACCTAGGCTAATCAGGCTGCTTCTTCCCATTATACTTTCTTAAGGCTTTCAATGCATTCGGTTTGTAGCAATGTGATTAAACAATAAGAATGCAAGTTGTAATTTCTGGAACAGCACTTATCTTTCTGCAGATCATAGCCACCCGGGTGGCTAGATGGCCAAATTTAGTGAAAAAAGGGTTCGAGCTAACAGCAGTCCCCCACCGCAAAAAAAATTCATACTGCAAGTACTCAATTGGAGGAAGAAGGTGCTTTGCAGGCTCAAATCTATGTGCTCTTAAGTAAGAGAAGTCTCTTTTAAAAAGAAAGCAGATGTGTACACAAAATTAGTGCTGATGTCTGCTTAAGTAAGGTTTAATTAGCTGCCAATTTCTTCTTCCAAATTAAATGGATTTTATAAGTAACACTTAAGTCCAAGTTTCTATACAAAGAATGCCAGAAGGAAGAAAAGCAAACAGACAGGAGGAGGTGTTGCTGGAAGCACTGCCATTAATGCTGCAGAGTGGTGCCAGCTAGTCCTTACACACACGGAGAACTTTTTCAGCCACTTACCTTCTTAAACAGGGCAACACCATCTTTGCTGAGCTGGTATTTGGCAAAGACATCTTTGCTGGCAGTGATCCCAAAAGGAATGTCATCAATGGACTCGGCTGCCAACATGAATTGTTTGGCAGCATCAGATTCTGCATCCTAATGGAGGGAAATGGATTTAAAAAACCAACAACTCCACAATGCACCTTGATGTGATACATTTTGCAAACCCAGTAACCCCAAAATTATGAAAAGCCAAGACAGGACAAGGAAATGGATGTTAGCTAGAGTTTAAGGTCTTCCCAACCTGGACAGGTACAAAGGCCTACAGGCTAGATCAACTAAAACTGCAGTAATTGTGGTCTAGAGTGTGAGGAGACCACTGTGGACCTAGGCTTGATTTCCAAAGCCCTCTACAACCAGTTCAGACCTCTAGCAAGAGTGATCTATTCCTCCCCTAGCTGTAGCAGAAACAGAAAAGAGGGTGGCCCTACCCACTATTGGCTTCAGACTCTGACAAATTACCCCAGAGGGAATTAGGTTCTTGACGTAAGAAGATCCCAACCCCTGGTCTAGAGAGTGAAAAACTACCTTAAAGAACCCAATCACAGCAACTTCACTGGACTCCACTAGATCCTCGGCAGCAGCTACATCTTTCAGGGTAGTGGCTGCTGGGCCTGTGCGTTTCTTCAACCAGTTCACAATGTCATCTGCTTCCCTGCCAGCTACATTAGGAAAAAATGACACATTATAGTCTCTTCCACTTCCAGGTTTGAGCACTTAATCTGGTCCCTGCAAGAAGAAACACCCACTACTGCTTTGTCTGAACAGCTCCTCCTGCAGTCAGACAACTACCACCTTCACTTACCCTTTTACCTTTCAAGACAAAGTAAGCAGGGAAGGTGCTATTGAGCCCCAAAGTGCTCTACTCAAACCGAAAGGATTCCATAGCACCCATACCCTTCATAGCATGCCGCTTCTATCACCAAAGTACGTTTAGACTTCAATCACATTGTCAGTGATGCATTGTTCTGCCTGATGCCAGCATTTTTCATGCTGAAGAATTTCACTAGTCACATGGGTTAGGAAAAATGGAATCCAGCTTTTTACCATCATGCTTCAATTTAAAAGTAATAAAATTAAACCCATCTTTCCAATTCAATTGGACGCCCTAGAATCTGACCCCAAAACTCTGAGAAGATGCTCCCATTAGTTTAAGCATGCATCAGAGGAAAAAAAATAACTACAGCAATCTCTGTTTAGAAAAATGCAACTTGTACGTACACAAAGCTTCCATCGGGTAGAACTGGGGATGATGGTTCCCCATGCAACACGGCATCTCCCAGCAAAGAGACCTCTGCAGGCAGGGGCCCCTCAGTCCACTCACTGCAGCAAGCCTTTTATCACCCAATGGCAAGTGCAGTGAGAGGGCCTCCAGTCATCCTCTTTAAAGCCTGGACCTGGGATTATCCCCAGAATTTTACTGAGCTTTGGAGGTTCAGTGCAATGAGAAGGAAGATTCCTGCTCCCTCTCTCTAGCTCCAAGCTCTAAAGGCAAAATAAATGCTAAATGTCTGAAACTGCAGAAGGAATCAGGGGATGGTCTTTGCCCTCCCAAAGAGGTGTAGCACACACACCTGGGAATCAAAACTGCAATCCTGTGCACACTTACATGGGATTAAGCATTCTCTGAATGCACTGAATTACTTCCAAGGAAACATGGATAGGACTGGGCTAAAGATGTTGCAGAGTTCTGACACACACTAATTTTCTGTTAGCGGAGGCAGCCAACCAAGGTTTGTGGATCCGCACCTACAGAGGACAGAGTCCCCCTTTGGCCAAGCATACTGAGAAGCAGGAAGTCTTTCCATGCTGCATCAAGTGATTAGCACTCCTAAACAGACTGGTTGTACAACACCTTCAGCACCTCCGGCATCAGCTGACGTAGCAACTGGAGGACACTTTTCCTTTTGGGGTGCTCAAAGGATTTATTTATTTATTTGAAACATTTCTATGCTGCCCCCATCACAACAAAGCCTCGGGGCGGCTCACAACATTCATAAAAAGTACAATTAATAATTTAAAATACAATTAACAATTGTAAAATACTTCATAGCTCAGCATTTGAACCCAGGTCTCCACAGTCCCAGTCCAACACTATTCAGCACAAATATTTTGTTTGGAGGAGATGTCTGCTTTTAGGATGCCTGTTCAAAGGCAATGTCACAAGCAGAGAAGTCATACTGAGAGGGGTATTCACCTACATGTGCCAAGCTGTTCTTGTTCAGCAGCTGGGGCAGACATAGGAGGATCTAAGGACTGGGGAGCAGCCACTCTACTTAAGGACCACCTTCAGAGCCATCATCAGCCACCACCATCAGACTGCTCCTGGGGCCTTAGACCAGCCTGCTGCCCAGGCAGGAGCCGCCTCATCTGCTATGGACAGCAGGCACCTGATCCTGGTTGCTAGGTAGCATGCTTCTAGGGGGCAGGGCTATCGTCCTTCACAGTCATCACAGAATTGGTGAAGAGTAGCAACAGTCGCATCTGAAGGAGGATGGGGAGTGCCTCCTTTAGGTACCAACCCAGATCCCAAGGTCATCATCTGGCACCTTCTTCCAGGTACCCCCACCAGAGGAGATGAACCAGGTAGCTACAAGGGCAAAGGACTTTCAGTGGTGGCACCCCTTCCGTGAAACGCCCTCACCTAATAGCTACCCTACTCTTTTAACATTGGTCGAACATGCTGTATTATTTCTCTCTTTCTTGCTGCTTCTTGATGTGTTGCTTCTGTAACTATCTTATTGCTTTGTAATTTATGTTTTTAATTTACCTTTATGCAGCCCAGAGAACTATCTACTGGATGCTTTAGAAATGCCCCACTTAAGTATGCCGAGCGCCACATTCCCTCAAGGAAATCAGTCATGGGTTGAGTAGGAGAAGGCAGGGCCTAAGCTGTAAGTGGATAGGGCCATCCCCTTTCTGTCTTCCCAGCATCATTATCCATTCTCTCATACACTCCATCCCTCCCCCATTTGAGGGCACCCAAGCACACGCCCCATCCATCCCTCCCATCTTTCTCAGGCAGGCTTGATCTGAGACAGGGGAGGGGGCATAGAGCACTGTAAAGAATAGAAGAAAGTGTTTATTTCAGCTACATATACTCAACTCTTATACTGTAACTTAAAACTCAAGTTACACTTTACACTATAACACCTGGACCAGGTGTTTGTATCAAAGGGTTCACAGCTAAAGGTGAGTTTTGGGGAGGGGCATGAAAGTAACTGGTGGTATCCCTACGGAAGGTTTTTGGAAGGCACTTTTAGGCACAAGAGACAACTAGCTTCAGGAGAAGACAAAAGACAAGACAATTACAGCAGTCAGAGAGATCGCAGGCTTTTTGCAGCAGGATAGAAGGAACTTGTTTGGATAACGTTGTAGAAGGAAAAGCAAAAGCCTGGCTACAGGGAAAGGGCTGCAGAGAAAAATGATGGCTCTCCTCTGGTTAAGTAGTATTCTGGGCTGATATGCAATTAGTTCAGATCAGAGTTCTAAAATCCTTCACTCAGCTACTTACAAATTCTCCATCTTTTCAGATACCACAGGTATTTTAATGCACCTGCACTCAGGGCTGGCATTACCATGAAATAATTGCTTCAAGCAGAAGTTTTCAGTGGAAAAGTAGGCAGCTTTCCTCCCTCTATACGAGTACAAAAATGCCTGAATCTGCTACCATACATTTTACCTGGACTTTAAGTGCCTTGATCTAATAAATGAACACCAGTTTTTGTATATACAGTAAAGGGCATGCCTGAGATGCCATGTAAAAAGCAGAAATGACAGCAGCAGAAAGCAAGCATTGCACTTCACCAGTCAGTTTTTGCCAGCCTTGTGACCAATTAAAGACCTGTGGTAATCTGGATCTTGTAACTCTGTCCTGGGGGTAGGGCACTCCCAAGCTTCTATTTCCCCTCCAAACTACAGGGCCAAGTCAGAAATAATCAATTACTCCCCTGCCCAGCTACAGTCTGTAGTACAAGGTTGCAACTATCCCCAGTTCTTCTGCAATCCAGGTGGTCTTGAAACCCAATGTAATTATAGTATTTTTTTACCTCTGTGTCACACTAAAAAGGAAAGCTGGGCCAAAGCAGAAATACAAGCACAAGTTCTCCTCCTCATTCATCCTCTAACTGATAACTAAAATCATTCTCTAACCGATAACATGTGGGAGAAAACCTAGTTACTGCAGATATAGGTTTTAATTAATTCCAGCTGCATTTCATAGCTTGAAGGATCTTTTGTTCTGCTCATTGACTGAACAGGAAAAGTCTGTTATTCGCCCAGCTTCCACTGGCACATACCATTTTGCACATTTTCCGTGCTCAGCATATGATCTATGCGCAGCAATAAAACATCACAGCAAGATCCCAGGCTGAGATCAAGGATGTATAAAAAGGTTGTTCTGTACAATATGGTGCCTATATAAATGCATTTTCCTCGACTTTTGTATGACTAAATTTGCATATAATTTCAGGTTAAAAAAGCAGTCTCCAAGTCCAAATAAACTGAAGGTGCTGGTCTATTTATGTGGGTTGGACTCACTGAAACCTGAAGTCAACAGGATCTTTTTCAGATTTCTCCCATATCCCTATTAGTTACTTTTTTAGCATTCAGTTTTGCACCTTCTCCTGCAACTACATTTCTAAAAAGCAAAGAACAGTAGTGCTATTTACACAAAATTGGCAGCATAATGTAAGCCCTATAATTTATCTTTGATGCTGATCACAAGCAAAGTTGCTACAGACCCCAAATGCTCAATAATCATTGAGCAAACTATCTGATGCAGTTACAATTCAGGACAGAAAACACACTGTAAATGTGGATACTGTGTATTGCAAAAACTGTATTGATTGCCTTAACAGCTAGGCCAGGTATTATATACAGGTGAAGAATCAAATCAAGGGTTTTTCTTCTGGATTTAAAAGAAAAAAGAAAAGAAAAAAGGGTGGGGGGAGAAAAAAAATCAAATCAAGGGGGCTCAGGAAACAGAGGTAAAATTAACATTGTGGTCAAAATACCAGACATACTTACATGCAAGGATAAAGAGTCTGTAGTTTACCATGGAAAGTAATGGGACCAACATAAACACAATGTGGCTTTTTGAACTGACAGAAGCACATATTCAACAGGAGTGAGTAGATATGAACAAGAACAATCTAAGGAACAGCAACATATTTTTAACATTTGGCAACTATTCACAGAAGGAATGGATATCTTGCATGTTACAAACATAAGCCAGTTTTGTGTGATACTGAACTCTGTTCTTTTGTACTAATGCAACATTTTCAGTCCCCTAATGAAACTCATTACAGAATTCTTTAATAGCATCACCATCTGCTCACCTGTATACTCTTTAGGAGAAGATTTATCTCCATTTCTGAAGAATTTGATAGTAGGGTAGCCTCGAACACCAAACTGTTGGGCAAGTTCTGACTCTTCTGTGGCATCTACCTTAGCCAGCCTGATTTCTGAGTTTTCAGATTTTAGTTTTGCTGCTGCCTTCACATATTCAGGTGCTAGAGCTTTACAGTGACCACACCAAGGTGCATCTAGAAAAAAAGGACAATGAAAGAAATGTTTATAGCATCAAGGCAATTACTGTACAGCCTCCCACATTGTCTATTAATTCCTTCAACCCACAGGAATGCAGATACATTACAAAACATTCCATGCAAGCTGGTCCCCAGAATCCAAAACAATATGTCAGGCACTTCTAGCCAAGAACACTCCACCTTTAAAAGCATTGTAGCACCACACCCACCCAGCAATTTCCCCATCACTAAAACAATGTGTTCCATACTTTGTCCAACACCTACAGCAAAGGTGCAAAAAGATAACTAAAAAGCAGGGAAGGTATTCTGTAAGGCCTAGGATAATGAGAGAGAAGCTTAAGTAACATTACCCCCTACCAAACTCTGTAACAAGAGAGCTTCATAAACTGAAGTTTTGTATGGAGAGACCAGAAACTCAGAAATAAGACTTACACAGCACAGTAAAACATACTCAGGGGAAGCCCTTGCCCTATCAAATTCTACTCCCTACCAAAGAGAATAGCAAATGTAGGAACTTGAACAGTCTTGCCTGTGAGGAAATCAGCATGATTACAAACTCTAGCCACTGTGATCCAAGTTGACTCAAGCTACATGTTGGACATCCATGGGTTGGAAATTAAGTCATATGCCCAGAGGAGAGAAAGCTGATATACTTGTTAAAAGTTATGACAGCTTCCATGAGCAGCATGAGCAGGAAGAAATCCACCACATTCCTACATTCTCAAGATGCAAGCACCCACAAGCCTTGCAACATCCTCCAAAATATTTGCTTTTGTACAATTCTTTCACTTCCACAGAGCTGCGTGTTACCTGTAGATAGCACAAAGGGACTCTTTCAACACTATTCATAACAGCAGTCAGCTAATGCAGCACATCTAACGCTCTCTCTCAGGCCACTAGTGCTACAAACAGAAGTAAGGTCCCCATAGCAACTTCCTTACTTAACAGGCATAGTCCTCGGGATAGTGCTCTTTGCCCTCTCACAGAAGCAGAGACAGGATTACTGCCTCCACGCTCCAGACCCACTCTCCTGAAGCTTTCACCAGGCGCCCACGATCCCTGCACCCAGATCTACTCCAGTTCTCGGCTGCAGCCAACTCCTAAGAAGCTCCGAGGGAGACAATGCGTGCCGAGTTCTTTGAACATTCCCGTGCCAGGTGTCTGTCATTTCAAAGGCAGAAGGGGAAGAAACTCTCACAGGTCCCTCCCACGGCCGGTGCAAACATTACTACGGCTAACAGCACCTGTTCACGTGTTTTCTACACACGTGAATGACGTAACGTCCGAAAAGCCGACTGGAGACACAGCGCCCGTAGGACTGGAACGATGACTCAAGATGCAGCGCTTCTCTCCAGCTGCGATCCCCCCCGATTCCCTCCAGCTTCCCCGCCGCTCCCCCTCCCAGTGTCCATCCACTCACAAAACTCCACCAGGATATTCGGGTGCTGCTCCAGCCCCTTGTCAAAGTTGGCTGTCTTGAGCACCAGCACGCCTTCGTCTTCCTCGATGTCGGCATCGGCGGCTACGCAGGCCCGGCCGAGCACGAGCAAACAGAGGAGAGGAGACAAAAGCCGGAGAGTCTTCATGGCGGCGCTGACAATGACGGCGGGATCCCAGGCGAAGGGACCGAGCGACGAGAAGGCAACGCAAAAGAGGACCGCTCTCCCCCGCCTCCCGCTTATAAACCCGCCCTTTCGTCGCGGCAGCTACCGCCTATTGGCTGCTTCTGGCCTTCTACGCGCCGGCTCTCACGAAGCTGGCTCCGAGCCTAGGCCCACCCTAAACCCTCGATTGGTCAGCATGAAAAGTCGCGTCATCTTCCCTGCCACTTCCGAACAACCTCTAGGGGTGCCTTTGTTCCGTCGTCTTTGATTGGCCGTACCGATCCCTTTCTTGCCTGCGATTGGAGCAAATAGCTATGCTCGGACCTTCGTTCAGCCACTTCTGATTGGCTAAGCTCCGTGACCCTCTTACTTCCCTTCTCCATTTCACTTCTCTGCTCTGGAACGTGGCATTTGCAAGGCACGCCCGTCCTGGTGCGGCACATGCGTCCTTGAGTGCGAGAGATCTTGTTCGTGTTTGATTCTGACTGGGCCGCGTTTACTGAGTGACCCGGAAAAGCAAGCGAGCAAGGAAAGGAAGGAAGTGCTTACTGGGCTGTGGCAAAAGAAGAGGCGGGTTCTGCGTGGGAAATTTTTTGGGAGGAATATTTTTTTTAAGTGTAAGAATGTGTTGGGGCAGGGAGAGCTGAACCGTATGTGTAACGTGTGTAAGATACACGGTGAGGCAATTAAAGGTTACAAAATAAAAATTGAATAAAAACAAAATAAGCTAAAATTAAATTATTTTTGTAAAATTTGAAAAAGACTTGTATAAAAGAAATCGGAGACCCTTATGAATAAAACGTGATGGAAATTTGCTCGAATAACGGACGGAAAAAGAAAAGGGACGCTTTTGAAATTGTAACTTTTAATTGCCTCACCCTATATATATGTAAAGTGCAAACAGATGGAGGATGATGTTTGGATATACAGGTTCAGGATTACTGAGAGAGGGTTTTTGAGTCGAAAATAAACCTTTCTTACAATGTAAACGCTAGAAGCACAGTTCTTCGGATGCTTACTTAGAAGTAAGTCCTATAAGAGTGTATAGGATTGCACTCGTAAGTCTTTGTCCACAAAATACTGGGTTTCCCTGTTGTTCATTTCCTCCATGCCTTGCAATAGAATTGCTATTAATAACAGACTTTACTTTATAGATACTGTTTTGCTAAGTCATGCCAAAAAGCCGCACACACACTCCTCTTGCACTTAAAATTCAACTATTGGTGGACTCTTTACAGATGTGCATAAACATCTTATTTCTATTTTTATTGTATTGCATTAACGTGTTGCAAACCATCCCGAGACCTCTGTGATGGGACAGTATAGAAAAGTTTTAAATAAATCAATCTGGGCTTGCAGCTTTGAAAATGAGATGCCCTTTTCCAAGTTATCTGTTCTACACATAGTGTGTCGTTTTTGTTAATGTTTTAAAGTACTGGTTTCAGTAGGAGAAGAAAACATGTAGTAGAACATCAAAAAATTTACATTAGACAAATAGAATTATATAAGTAACTGCAGAGGAATCTGTCGATCAGCCTTGCCTAATCTGACATATTCCAGGTGCATTGAACTAATCATTCATCCCAGTCAGCATGATCAGGCCAGCTGGTAATGATGGGCCCAACACATCATAAGGTTAATAATTTAGGGAAATCTTCGCTAGATCATTAATCAGAAAGGAGGAGCTTTGCCCTGTCTACAGGCAGGTAACACAGAAGGAACCATATGGAGTTACTTGAGTGGATAATTTGGTAGAGCAATCCAGTACCAGTTCAGGGAAATAGTACAAGAGATACTTCTGAGGGGGAAAATATAGTAGGACCCTATCTTTTTATTCAAAGTATTCTACTTAGAAATAAGTCCCACTTATTTTCCTGTGGCTTGTTCCCAAGCAAGTGTATATAGGGTTGTAGCTTTTCGCAACATAATGCAAGAAAATGCTTTTGCATAGCAAACCTATTTTTAAAACTTGAAGCCTCCCTAAATGATTAGAAAGGACTTTATTATTTCAAGCACAAGAGTCTAAGGTCAGTTTTACACATCTTTAGACAGAAAAATGTTATACACCCAGCTTTTCTTAGTCTTACTGCCCGAGGAATACTGGAATTGTAGGACTGTTTCTGTTCAAACATACATAGGACTGTATCACCTTGCGGGATTTAGCAAGGGGCAAGTGAGTTATTTATTTATTTAAAACTTTTATATCCCACCCTTCACAGTGTCTCAGGGCAGTAGTAATCTCCACAATTTGTCCATGCATTTAAGCTACCAAACTAAAGCAGTAGAAGGAATCCATGTGAGAAAGGAAAAGGCTATTTGGGCTATTTCACACCCAAGTGTCTCTGCAGCAATGAGATTAATCCACGTTGCTATTTTGTTTTGGAGTTCTTCCCTTTCTAGTTAGACTGGTTGTTAGCTAATTGTGCAATGCTATTTTTGTAGAAATTAATTCGGGGGATTGCAACTTTAAAGAGAGTTACCTACCAGCATTAGAGAGTGTATAGATTATCTGTTTTTCCTCCTCTTCTAAGTATGGATGAAGTAGAAGTAACTTTACAAGGAATTTAAGGCACATTCCTCTTTCTTGGTCCATAAAACATAGCTGAACTTAATTTTTTCTGTGCCGCTGTACAAAATTCAAAACAGCTCCTAGGATCAATGTGTATCCCAGAATGTACTTTATTACCACTTACCAGACTCAGCGTCAACTCTTAAATGATGACCAATAATGATAGAAAGGCATATTTAAAAGTAACACTCAGGAAATAATTTTTCTGTCTATATCTTACTTAACCAGATCCTTGACATGGTTATCTAGAAAGGATGTCTTACCTTTCTTTAGGACTCAGTTGTCAAAATTGCTCAGGCCTGGTTAAATTTCCACCATTTACTATAAATAATGCCGATTAAAATCCACATGAAGAAAAAACCCACCAAACATCCAGGTAGAGAACTGTACTACTCTAAAACCCGAATAAAGGCCACAGGATTGAGAGAAACCTTGCATTAAATTCTAGCTATTAGGGTCAGAGCTGTTAAACACAAAGCACACTGAGGTGTTGAGGAATGTAAATGTTATCCTGGCAGTACTGTCTTTGTTACTGAAAGAGTCCTCCTGCCAGAGGACTGGGATCTGTTTCATGTACAGTAATTATACTTAATAGGCTGGGTATTAAATGGCAGGCTGACCAAACTGTTAGATCAGAATCATCAGTATCTAGTTAGCTAGTTAATTTTGGAGTAATCCTAATGTGAAGAAAAAAAAGACTTATGTGACAAAGGGAAGAAAGGGAAAATGTACAAAATACCAGAAATTAAATGTAGCTTAGGCAGTTGTGTAAGCTATAGTTGGAAGTGGTACTGATCGTCTCATAAACTGAAGATTGATTCTGGAACATTGCAAAACAATTCACACATCGTATTAAGTACTGCCATGTTGTGTATCAGATTCTTTTATGCAGAGAGTATGGCGCACCTCAAACAATACCTTTTCAAAAGCTTGATCAAGCAGACCCTGATGGCCAAAGGACTGGTGTACCTGGAAATCCCTTATTAAGCATTGTGTGCAACAAGTGAACTATAGAATCACAGCATAGTAGAGCTGGAAAGGGCCATGAAGGCCATGGGGTCCACCCCCCTGCTGTTGCAGGACACCAATTTACACCATTCCACTCAGATGACTGCCCAGTTTCTCCTTGAATGTCCATAGTGTGAGAGAGCCCATGACCTCCCTTGGCAACTGGTTGCTCTGACAGTGAGGAAACTTTTCCTGATATCTAGCCTGAATCTGGGTTGTTGCAGCTTGAAGTGATTATTCCGTGTCTTGCACTGTGGGCTTCTTCTGTTGTCTTCTATACCTTTTGCTGGTTGGGATTGTTCATAGTTGTCCTTGGAGAATTTTCTTTTTCAAGATGTTCCACCCCTCTTGGACTTCTTGTCCCTTAAGAGTGAGTTGCCATGATCCTGGAAGTAATTGCTACCAGATCTTCTTGATATACATAGTCAATTTATTGAATGAAAAAAAAATCAAAATACATGTCCCTCTAGCTTGCATACATTTGGAACTGATAATGTTATTGATTTAAAAGATTTCTAAGGGGCCTTTTAGGGTAAACTTTTCTCAGCTAATGTACAACACAAATGAAAACCACAAAGTATAATCAAACAAAAATAAAAACAATAATAGCATCTGCATTAGTTAGTAGACACCAAGTCTCAACTCAGTCATAGGTCAAATTAATAGGTAAGTCTATTTGAAAGCCTATAATGATGCAACTGGCAGAGAGAACTCACTCCAACTGTGAATTTATGCTTTCTGCAAAAAAAATAAATCTTTTACCTACCACCAGCTACTTCCTCATGGAAAGATATCCAGGAGAAAAGGAGAAATGGAAAGATGACATTGGGGCCTGCTCCAGCAGGGCTGTCCCCTTCCCAGGATCTTCTAATATCAGCCTTGTGGGAAAGTACTATATGGATATTGTCTTTTGCTTCCTGGGAGAGCAGCTGAGGGGTCATAGGCTGTGGCAGATGGCCCTCTGCCACCAGAGAGAGATGGGGTGGAACCCTGCTGTCTGTGAGGGAGGTTCACTGCTACCTCTGCTTGGTGCAGCTGTGGAAAGCACAAGCAGAGCTGTCCCAAGAGCTGTTGGGCTGGAAACTGGGTGTTTCAGGGAGGCCATGGATTTGTCGTTTCTTGTGTTCCCTTGTTTTCTCAATGCACCACCAAAATGATACTAATCGTACACCAGCCCAGGAGTTGGAATGGCTAATCCCCTCTTGGCTGTAATGGAAGCAGGAGGACCAAAGGGAAACCCTGGTTACCTCCCCTCCTGCCTTGGCTTCTGTAAGCTGGCTAGGTGCTGGATGCCAGTGGTGGGTCTGCTTGGATTTCTTTTTTCCTGCAGGTATGTAGTGACGAAGATGAAATGACCATTGTGGCTTTGCCCATAGATACAAAGATGGTAAAACCATTCTTTGGTGACAGAGAGTATGACCACAGTTATTCTGAATCAGAGGTAATGCAGTCTGAATTGGAATGAATTCAAGCGATAGCCCAAGTGAA